TGCTGAACCCCGACCCCAAGTCCCACGCCGTGGAGTGGGACATCGAGGATGCCGTGAACCGCTACGTGCAGCCTGTCCTGGACAAACTGAGCCTGGTGGCCAACTTCTCTGTTGACTCGCAGGTGAGGGCTGGGAGAGGTGATGTGGCGAGTCCAGCCCTGGCTGTCCCAAGTGCTCCGGGACGTGCTTCTCTACCAGCAACGTCTTTGTTGTGTGCCTGCAGATCCTGTACTATGCTGTCCTGGGAGTGACACCACGCTTTGACAAGGAATCCTCCAGCTTCCTCCTGAGTGCCCACAGCCTCCCGCACGTCATAAACCCTGTGGAGGCCCGGCTGGGTGAGCACTGTGCTCCTGCTCTGTCTCTCTTGGGGCCGGGCTCTGCTGAGGGAGTGGGGACAGCCGTGCCTATGGCCTGTGTCCCTTCCCTCCCCGCAGCACCATGCCCTGCCAGCCCTGGATGGGAGTGAGGGTGGCTGAGACCTGCCGGGCTGGCAGTTCTGCTCGGGGCTGTGGAAGGAGGAGCAGGGCTGGGTTCTGCCCCAGCGCTGCGTGGGGGCTGTCTGCCCTCGCTGTCCCTGCCAGACAGGGGACTTCCCTGACTCTGTCCTGCTGCAGGCTCCAGCGCTGCCTCGCTCTACCCTGTGCTGAACTTCCTGCTGTATGTGCCAGAGCGTTCCCACTCTCCTCTCTACATCCAGGACAAGGACGGGGCCTCAGTGAACACCAACGCCTTCCACAGCCCCCGCTGGGGTGGCATCATGGTACGGGGGCCACGGGGGTGCTGGCAGCGCTCAGGCAAGGCGGTGACTCCCCACCCCCAGTACATGCTGGTGGCCCTGCCAGCCCCAGGGTCTGTGCCTCACTGACACGCTCTTCTGCAGGTTTACAACGTTGAAGCCCCTGCTTCCCCCCAAGCGTCCCTCCCGCTGCACGTGGACGTGGACATGGTGCGAGTGATGGAGGTTTTCCTGGCCCAGCTGCGGTGAGGATGTGCTCTTCCCTCCCTGGGCTTTCCTGTGCTCTCCTGGCACACGTGGAAATCGATGGGGTCAGAGCAGGCTCTACCCATGCCGCTCTTTCACTCCTCCATGGGCTCTGGGAGGCTGAGGGTGGCTTTCTGTGGCCTTCAAGGTGCTGACCACCAGCCAGCATTCCTCTCTGGCCAGGGATACTAGTGCATCTCCTGGGGTGGGAGCCTTGTCTTGTCCTGTCCCGTCCCTTATGCAGAAGGCCATCAGGTGTGGGTTGAGCCCTGCCAAGACCGAATGCAGCAGGGAAGGAGAAGAGTGGGGAGCGCCTCTGGGATTGCAGGCTTCTGATGTGGGGCTGGGACCTTCCCCTCTACTCCCAGGTTACTGTTTGGGTTATCTCGGGAGGAGCTGCCCCCTGAGTTTCTGCTGGAGAGCCCAGGGAACGAGGGGCTGGCTGACTGGGAGCTGGACCGCCTGCTCTGGGCCCACACCGTGGAGAACATTGCCACTGTGTCTACCACCTTGACCTCGTTGGCCCAGCTCCTGGACAAGATCGGGAACATTGTCATCAAAGACGATGTTGCCTCTGAGGTAGGGCTGGGGCGCCCTGAGGTGGGGAGCAGAGGGGACCGGGTCTTGCTGTCCCTGTGCAGACCATGAGCTCTTACTGGTGTGGTGCTGCCCAGACCTGACAGCAAGTGAGGCCTCCAGCCTTGTTCCTGTGGTTCTCCCTGGTCAGGGACTGACCATCAGTGTTGTTTCCACACAGGTGTACCGAGCGGTGGCCTCAGCGCAGAAAGCCATGGCTGAGCTTGCTGCAGGCCACCTGCACTCGGCTTTCCAGGCCAGCAAGGACGCAGTCACCTCCTCAGAACGGGCTTTCTTTGACCCATCTCTCCTCCATCTCCTCTACTTCCCTGATGACCAGAAATTTGCCATCTACATCCCCCTCTTCCTGCCCATGGCTGTCCCCATTCTCCTCTCCCTGGCCAAGATCGTCCGGGAGGCCCGGCAACGTAAGAAGGAGCCCACCAAGATGGACTGAGCCCATGGTGATGGTGCCCTGCCTTGGGGCTGGGGTTATCGGGTGTTGTCATGGACCCATGGCACGAGAAGGCGCCCCAGAACTGTGTCATGGCTGCTCGCAGCAGCGCGGCCTGGCTCTGCCGTGGCCAAGATGCAGGAGTGGGAAGAGAAGATGCTTTGAGGGGTGGGAGATGTTCTCAATTTGGGTCCTGAGCCCTCTACCTTTTCAGAGAGGAGGGAGGGGGCTCCCTGTGGCCCCGCACTGTGTTTTCAGAACAAGCTGCTGTACAAATAAAGGAAAAAACCCCGCTTGTGCGGGGGGACTGGTGTAGGACGGTGTCACCCCCCTCTCCTGCTCTGCCCTTAGCCCTCAGCGGGTGGCCATCACCCTCCCTTCCCCTCGCCTGCCCCTGCACCCCCCTCCCTTCCCCTGTCTTATGGGTATTTAGCCCAAATCA